ATGTGGAAGTTATTGCCTTTTGCCTTGGTGTGACTTCTCACGTTTTGCAGACAATGCAAAGGCAGAGTACATTAACTTCAAAATAGGGGATAAATGTATAGTCTTATAGTCAATAAACGTTTAGTCTGCTTGTTACGGTCAAAAAAAATAAATTAATTAATAGTCTCATTAGTATATGCAATGGCCTATATGAGATAGCCCATGATCACTAGATTTTACACAGGCGTTACCATAAAGATTTTAAAAAATGGTGATCAGCAACAAAATATTGATAATGTGGAAGTTATTGCCTTTTGCCTTGGTGTGACTTCTCACGTTTTGCAGACAATGCAAAGGCAGAGTACATTAACTTCAAAATAGGGGTAAAAATCAAGTTTGAGCTCACACTTTTTTAATGTAGATAATTTTCATTACTAAAACATCTAATTGTAAAATTTCCAGTGTCCTACCTATAATTACAGTTTTTTTCAATTGCTTAAGTACAATTTTGAAAACAGGGCCCGGTTTTTCAAACCCCTTCACACATTTAGCACAACACTACACCAAAGTATCACAACACCTCAGATAATTTGCAAAATGTAACACTTTTGTCAAAACTATACAATGTCTTATAAAATAGATACCAAAACTGTTGATATAGTACATGCAGTAAGCTATGGATTTTCTGTTGACAGAAGATAAGTTTCTCACCTGTGCTCTTGACGAAATGTCCGAACTATTGATGCCACCGTGTACCTGCTTAGGTTAGGCTGTACTCTCAGTCCAGCCTCCCTCAGTGTTAGTCCGTGGTTTATTACATGGTCCACAATTGTAGCACGAATTTCGTTACACAGATTTGGTTGTCTTCTTCTTTGTGCATGTCTTACCCCTCCTCCAGGTCTTCGTCTTCCTCTCCCTCTCCCACTTCCTGTTACGGAAGAGGTCTGACACAACAGGTTAGTGTATATACAAAGTGTTTATTGGTGCAGGTGCTCAGTACTCAGGTTACAGTACCCCCCCCTCCACGGCCCGCTCTTCTTTTCATGTACTCAAGTCAGTCAATACTGAACATTTCAACAATACATTCATAAAACATTTTCCAGTTTTCATACAGTATTACTGAACGTGCCATTGTACTGTAAGCTTACAGTAATACTGTAACATAAATTACATACCCAGTTCAGTACTGAATAAAAAAAAAAAAAAATCTAAACATCTCTCCGCCTAGCTGGATCTGGCCACAGGGCCTCGTCAACATCACAGGCTATATTTTCATTTGCAAGGCAACGTGGGAAGAATCTTTTAATGAGGTCAGTGTTGTAAGGACCCAAGTTGGCATGGCGGTGGAGGACCCCATTCTGTGTAATGGCAGCACAAAGGGTAATGTTACCCCCACGTTGCCCTGGTACATTGACAATAGCCCTGTGGCCAATGATGTTTCTTCCCCTTCTTCTCACTGTTGTCAGGTTAAATCCAGCCTCATCAATATACACTCTTGCGGGACTTCCCGCAAGAGTGTATCCATTTGCAAAACTCTCTGAAATACAGCAAAATATCACATTGTGTAGATCAATATACTGTAGGTCTGCTATACAGTAAAATTACATGTACAGTAAAAAGGTTATGCGTGCAGTACACAAATACTACAGTCAGTGAACAAAACGTACCACCACATATTCACGCCGCAGGACTTTCACCCTGTCTGAATTTCTTTCAAATGGCACTTTATACAGTTGTTTCATCAGAACTTCATGTTTTTTAAAATACGGGCTATTGTTGACAGAGAGACCTGTTGGACATTATTGAAAATAGTGTGATCATTGACAATATGGGCTTGAATTTCTCTAAGTCTGATTGCATTATTGGCCAAAACGAGGTTTATGATCTCTCTCTCTTGCTCCTGTGTGAATATGGGGCCCCTCCCTCCTTGGTGTTCTCGACGTTCAATCCTATGTTGGCCAAACAAAATACATGTAGCTTACTGTAAAATGATACACGAATAGATACCAAAACTGTTGATATAGTACATGCAGTAAGCTATGGATTTTCTGTTGACAGAAGATAAGTTTCTCACCTGTGCTCTTGACGAAATGTCCGAACTATTGATGCCACCGTGTACCTGCTTAGGTTAGGCTGTATTACATGGTCCACAATTGTAGCACGAATTTCGTTACACAGATTTGGTTGTCTTCTTCTTTGTGCATGTCCTACCCCTCCTCCAGATATTCCTCTCTCTCTCCCTCTCCCTCTTCCTCTACCTTGTTGTCTCCGGATTCCCCCTCTCATCCGCACTCTCCCTCTTCCTCTGACACCGTCCATTTTTGTTGAAGACAGGTGAACTTACCTGTTGCCTTCTTATAGTGCTTAAACCTGATTGGTGTGTCTACAATTAAGCACCAGTGTGTGTGCACACCTGGTGGCTGTGTTTAACCAATTGGTTCATGGGTGTGTTCATTTGAAAGCCTTTGCTTTGAAATTGCAAGGAAATGACATCATGATAAATTTCTGTGTCAAATGCATACAAGTGTGTTTAGTGTTTTGCAAATCACTGTGTACGAGACCGGACAGTGAGGGTGTCTGAGGTGTGTGCTTTTATGCAGGCTGGTGATGAGGTGCTTGATTGGTGACAGGTGCAGGTGCTCAGTACTCAGGTGAGAGGGATCGTTGTGATTGGGTGGTGGTGGAGCCTGGCCGATCTGTTACACTTCCTCTGACACCATCCATTTTTGTTGAAGACAGGTGAACTTACCTGTTGCCTTCTTATAGTGCTTAAACCTGATTGGTGTGTCTACAATTAAGCACCAGTGTGTGTGCACACCTGGTGGCTGTGTTTAACCAATTGGTTCATGGGTGTGTTCATTTGAAAGCCTTTGCTTTGAAATTGCAAGGAAATGACATCATGATAAATGTCTGTGTCAAATGCATACAAGTGTGTTTAGTGTTTTGCAAATCACTGTGTGTAATGTTTTGCAAAAAGTGTGAAGCTGACAATGTGCTTACAGTTGTGCAAACCTAGGCCGGTGTTTTGCTCCTTAAGTGTAAGGTTTTGCTAATTGTGGGAAAGTTTTAATTTTAGTGTGTAAGCAATTGAAAAAAACTGTAATATGGCTGGACAAGTAAAAAACATTAAAGTCATTTTTCTCAGTTTCACATTCTAGCGAGCAGTATAGTCCTCTGTTTTGAGCTGCTTTACAGCAAAATTGAATTTTGTTTGCATCATTGAAACATTTTCCTATTTAACACTGTAAATATGCTTTGATGCAATCTGTGTTGTATAATGCGCTATATAATAAAATTGACTTGACTAATAAATTGCAAACCCATGAGTAAATATCTGTATTTAGGTGAATTAATGCTCTCCCTGGAAACACATTTGCTATACAATGGGCATGTGCATTGGCTAGACAAACCTGAAATATACAGTTTTGAATCAATATTTGAGGGTAAGAAACAACATGTATTATACCATTCGTATCAGATGTTCATGCAGATTTAAAATGTTATTGAAACGTGAGTTTGGCCAGTAGTTTTTTTATGTAAAAGAACAGCATCTCCCGGTGAGAGCAAAAAGAAAAAAAGAAAAACCTGTAACTTCATGGTGTAACCACTAGATTACTGTATATGACTCTATAGAGAGGCTTGTGAATTCCCTAGTTGTTTTTATACATAATTGTTTACTTTTATTAGGTTGTGGATTTAAATGTATATTAAGGCATTCTTAAAGACTACTTTTTGTCAAGGTTTATATTTTTTGATGTTTTAAATGTTGATTTGAAGTGTAGGTTTTTGCATCATCATTACTACAGTCAAACCTGAACACAGAAAGCATTTTGTTACACAAAACATTAAAATTCTATAAAAATGTAACAAAAATTAACAGGAATGCTTTATCAGAGCTTAATCCTTCTGGGTCTGATCTGATTTTAACCTCTTATTTAATTCTTCTGACTCATTTTGGTTATATGGTTATAGCATACCAATTCATGTGAGTATGTATAATTCTGTATGTGTGTGTGTGTGAGTGTGTGAAAGTAAGTGTGTGTGTGGTGTCACGTGTATGTTCCTGTTGTCCTTATTTGGTCCTTCCAGTTCCTTTTCCCATTTTTAGTATCACCTGTTCCTTGTTATTAGTTATCCCCATCACCTGTCTGCCCCTCGCTATCTGCCCTAGTTCTAACTCTTCCCATTTTTAGTATCACCTGTTCCTTGTTATTAGTTATCCCCATCACCTGTCTGCCCCTCGTTATCTGCCCTATTTAGTTCTAACTCGTTCTGTTCTCCCTTGTCTGGAATTGTTTGTCAACTCCTTGTGCTACGTGTGATTCCCTGAAAAAGATAATTAAACTTTTTTGTTTTGTACTCCTGGTCTCCTCGTTTCTCGCTCCATGCTCCTTACAGTAGCAACCCGTGACAGAATTCCAGACCCAAAAGTGACAGTAAGCGGCACCCCTTCTACCCGTGTTTGTTTTTCGTTTTTTGAATATTATGTTTGTTTTTTGTTTTTTTCCCCGTTCTTTTCTCCCCGTTCATATGGAGGAACGAGCTTTATTCATCGCCATGGTTCAGGCGAACCCTGACCCTGTCAGTTACGTGAGGGCGTTTGTGCCGCTCGCCCTCGCCAGCTCCCTTGAGGGGGAAACCCTCGTGACGCTGTTCCGGATCAGGATGATGTACCATTGCCCCGCGGAGCTCCCAGACACCACTGACCTCGACTGGAAGGAGGCAGTCATCCGGTGTCTGGAGAGCCTCCGATCCCGATCCGGGATCCCTCCGCCAGCTGTTCCTCAGTCAAGTCTGCCGGCTGCGGCTTTCTCCTGCCCGCCAGTCGTTCCTATGGCAAGCCCGCCGGACGTTTCTGTGGCAAGCCCGCCAGACGTTAATGTGGCAAGCCTACCGGTCGTTAATATGGCAAGCCCTACGAACATTGATATGGCAAGCCCGCCGGACATTAATGTGGCAAGCCCACCGGACGATAATATGGCAAGCCCTCTGAACATTAATATGGCAAGCCCGCCAAGCGTTCATGTGACCCCAGAATCCGCTCTAGAAAGCTTTCCTTCGTCTCCTGAGTCTCCTTCGTCTCCTTCGTCTCCGCTGGTTCCATCCAGCTCTCCATCGTCTCCATCGTCTCCTTCGTCTCCGCTGGTGCCGTCCAGCTCTCCATCGTCTCCTTCGCCTCCACTGGTCCCATCCAGCCCTCCTTCGTCTCTAGAGCGCCCCCCAGAGCCGGCTCCAGCCCCAAAACTCACTCCAGTGCCAGATCCTCGAAAGCGCTTTGCTGTGCCTGCTCCTCCAGAGCACCCTCCAGTGCCAGCACCACTTAAGCGCTACCCTGATCCCCAGTTAAGCCCAGGAAGGGCTCCTGATCCCGAGTATAGCCCACGGAGGGCTCCTGATCCCGAGTTAAGCCCAGTAAGGGCCCCTGATCCCCAGTTCAGCCGAGGAACGGCTCCTGTTCCCGAGTATAGCCCAGGAAGGGCTCCTGATCCCGAGTATAGCCCAGGAAGGGCTCCTGATCCTGAGTTAAGCCCAGGAAGGGCTCCTGATCCCCAGTTCAGCCCAGGAAGGGCTCCTGATCCCCAGTTCAGCCCAGGAAGGGCTCCTGATCCCCAGTTCAGCCCAGGAAGGGCTCCTGATCCCCAGTTCAGCCCAGGAAGGGCTCCTGATCCCCAGTTC